AAGTTTCATCAAAATCCAATGAGTGGTTCTTTAGATATCAGTGGAACAGTCATAGAACAGCTAAAAATTAGCTAATTATCATGCAAATTAGGTAATTAACGAGCATGGATTTTTACCAAAACCTAATCAAATCTGCGCATTGGCCCAGAGCATCTATGCACCAAGTTTCATCAAAAACCGATGTATGGTTCTTGAGATAGCAGTGGAACAGTCGGACACACATACACACATACACACACACATACACACATACACACATACACACATACACACATACACACATACAGACACACTAACTGCAAAGACTCCCATTTTGTGCTTCGCACATGGGAGTCAAAAATGATAGTAGTCAGATATCTATGGAAAGTCGAGAAAATATTTTAAATACTTGTGATTCATTGATGTTCCAATGGTGATTTTTTAATTCGAAATGAAGTGAACATGTAATATAAACCATACCATGCGTCAAGTTAAATTTTACTATAATATAATAAACTCTGGACAGCGCACTTCGATCGCAATATTCATGTACATTTTGACTGAACTCTAATGACCACGCGTTTGAATTACGTGCGGCATTGGGTGGGCAATGACCTGCAGAGTTCACGCACTGATATTTAAATTCGGGCCATCCAGCTTGACGCAAATTTATATAGTTACTTGTCATGTGTTCAAAAATCTTTCAACTCTAACAAATACGTCAGTACAAGATTATGTGTACAAGGTTAGCTTTATAGAACGTACATGACTGCTTAACTCTGTGTTTTTTAATAATCATGTCGCTTGTGAAATGCAGACATTTTAGTTCGCCCATTTCTTGTTTACCAACTAATTTATACAGACAAAGATTAAACATTACTGATAACAACCAAGAGGTTCGAAACAGGAAGGCTTGGATATTTTAAACTTCGTAAATAACATTTTTTTCAAGCGTGGACTTTATTCGAGTGTAATAAACGTAAGTGAAATGTATTTTAATGAGTCATAATACGCAACAACAATTCGTATACAGCATTGGTTTTATTGAAGTTTTAATGCTTTTCGACTTCACAGTAAATTATTTTAGCGTCTTATTTGAAATAGCGTGCTCGATACAAAATGATGGACGGGAAAATTGAGGTCTGTAAAAATGTTTGTTGGTTCAGTCAGGCAATGTGTGGACCAAAACATCGCCCACTATTTGAATCATCGCCCAAGGGCGGGGTTTAGGATGGGCAGGGTGTCAGCCGAATCTGGTATTTCTAAATAATCATGCATGAAATAATATCAGGCAATGGGTCAGTATGACTTTCAATGCAGTTTCCATTACAAAAAGATTGAATTGTTGATTGTACTTACCCAACTAATAACTTAAGAACAACGACGAATGGCACAACTTTGAATGGTTTGTTGTAGTCAGATTGAACATATGTAAATGACTGGCAAATTTCTGAAACCCAAGACAATACAAGTTATAAAATTTACCCAAATTTTGTCTGTTGGCTCCAAAATTTGGGTTCCTTTCCAGAAAAAGTGCAGAATAATTTGGGTGAGAAAGTCTGGTGGTGAAAAGGTTATTGTTTCCCACTAAACATTAAAATGGGACAAGATGAAGGATTATCAGTGTTGCTATGTTGTGTAAAGTAAACAATGGCACAGATGTATGCCTGCCTA